CAAGTAAGGTCTAGTTTTTTGGTATTCATGAGAGGGCAGACATAATATCTCCAAAAGTACATAGCAGCTCACACCAAAGCAATCTAGATAGATTGGTCTGGGATGTTCTAACTCTTTAAGTCTCTATTCTAACAGAAAAGTTCAAACTAAGCCTCACTGAGGCTTTAGTATGGGAAGTGCCTTACCATATCAACTGTTTTGAGTTTGATAGAGAAACTTGAGCCTGAACACCTCGCCACTGCACCACCCAATCTGAAAGCTACCACAAGAGAAATATGCAAGAGGGGCACAATATATAAATAAACCAGTACAACTGAGTCAACACTCTACATATATCGCGGGGAGTCCGGGGACTTGGAAAACAAACAGTGAAGACGTGCACAGGTTCATGTGATGGCACCGAGAGTAATCGTCCTAACCATACAGCAGAATCTGCGATTTATCACAGCGATGGCGCGTAGCTTTGCTAACTGCCTCCTCTGGGGCCCTTAACGGCCTCCAGGGACGGCTGCTGGCATGTCTTATCGCCCACCCCCACCTCAGGAGCCGCCATCTCACAGTGACATCAGCACAGCCCCCATTGCTGCCCCTGAAAATACGACAACCTCCAACCAGCTACAAAAAGGACGTTTGGATTACGTGTCATCTTGTGCGACAGCATGCCCACGCTTCTCTCCAGGCATCTCATTGTGATCTCTCAGAGCGCCGTGGAAACCAAACCTGTCTGTGTCAGGCTTGAATCACATGTAAAAACAACAGCGGGAGGAAGAAAAAAAAAGAGCGAGAGAGAGAAAACATTTAGCATCACACTTTGGTCATCAGGATTATAATTTCATGCTTCTGTTTCTTGCCATCTCCATCATCAATATTTATACTGTCATCAGCATCAGTATGCCACAACTGTTGTGCCTCCGGCCGGCACAGCCAGCCAGTGAGGCAGACAGAGGAGGAAAGGCCTCAGCCCGACTCTGCAATGCTGTATTGAACTCTTATGCCACCACTGACCCGAAACAAACTCCCTCAAGACTCTGTTCATAGATGCAGCCAAGCCGGCAGTAGCTGTAAAGCAGGGTGGTCATTGAGGCTTGACCGCCTTCATTACCCAATCACATTTACTAATACTTAATCTAACCAGGAGAAGATAATATCTCTTCTATTTGCCAAACTCAATATCAGACACTCAGAGCTGACCGCTCTCTCTGGTGAGCTCATTTCAGACAGCACAAACCGAAACTGCATCCTGACTGCCACTCACGGTGACACGAGGAAGAAACAGCCGCTTTCAGCCATCTTTACTAGGAGATGATCGGATTTTCGAGCACCTCCAGGCAGCTCTCCCAATGTGCCTTCATGAACTCATGAGGTAGGAGGGGGAAGGAATCGCCTTAGTTCATTTTTTCAGGCGTCGCTCTTCACTTTAGGTCATGATGAGAATATACTCCTCAGGGGAAATCTCACCATTTCTAATTATGTCAATTCAATGGATTATAGCTTTCATTTTGTGTCATTAACCATTGCCAATCTTCCAACTATTATTCAATAATTAATGTCTGGACAATCATCATGTTCCCCAAAGGGCCAACACCCAGGCCTGGACAGAAGACTCAATCAAACCAATCATGGCTAATTATACCCACCGCGCCATCATAGGGAGCTTAGCATTTCTGCTCTGCACGGGTCAGTGCTCATGCACTCCCTGCCCCCTGGTTGCGGGGATTCAAATTGTGCCACATCATGCACAAAAACAGAATCTCAGATATCCAGGTTCTGGCGTGGCGTGAGCACGTGGCGACTGTGTGCGATACGATCCCAGCGTCTCAGATGGGTCCCTCGTCTTGCTGCATTTTGAGCTGAACGCCGGAGGTTCCTCCCACAATTCTCTGCCTCTCTTGGCTGATCGGTGACTCTCCCTTCACCCTTCAACCCGTGTACATCAGCAAGTCTTGCAGCCATCAATCAGTGACACCGCCGCTCTATGAAGAGATCAGCGGCCAGCTTGCCCTGATTAGAACAGTTTAAGTGTCATCTATAATCTCTATCTGGCTCTGGCTCTTTGTCACAGAAATGAGTGCGTGTGCATAAACACACAGGTATGCACAAACTCAGGCAGACACCATATTTAGGGCAACAGTTACTCCCTTTGCATTCTAATGTAGCAGCGAATTAATGCAGTCCATTGTCCTTTTACAGTAAGGGGACAAAGAAAGGCAAACTACACTTTAACCAGATTAAAAGCACCCTGGCTTCATTTGGGAGATGCACAAATCATTGGGACAATATTTTAGGGGGCAATCATTTATATGCTGGACTCCTCTCATGCCCTTTGCCACCTAGGGTGTTTGTTTTTGGAGGATTTGCTTCGACTTTTATATATCTCCTCTGGAAATAATCCGCAATGGCTCCACTATTCCGACAACGTTAGAGCAGTGGGGGGCTGAGCATTATCTCAAAGTCACACCTTCCCTCTAGGCCAGGTGTGCAGGTGTAATTTACCATGTCCCTGTTAACCTGCTTGCTTGTTTTCATCAAGCTCATCGGCCATGCATAAGTGGTGTGCCTAGGAAATTAAAGAGCAGCTTGGCCTGATTCCTCAAATGACTGAAATTGCTCAGCCGGTGCTTAATTTGTGACACAGGAAGGAGTCAGTGGGATGTGTGTGTCTGTGTGTTAAATTTATCAGGTGACAGTTGAAATTTGCAAGATGACCCACATGCTATTTCTTTTTTTAAGTGGTCAGACTGTAGAAGAGGTTCAGAAAATCCTTCAGGAAAGTGTTGACTGCTATATTTTATTTTATTTATTTTTCCACCTTTCGCACATTTTAGAATTAAAAAGAAAATCTGCCAAATGTCCTTCCTTTGGTTGCCGACAATTTAGACCTTGGAGCTACCAGTGTCTAAATGTTCCCGTTACATGAACAGAGTCCATGAAGAGGAAATCAGATGAATAAAACATTCCACCTGCATCCCATTTAACTAATCTGTGTTAACCTTTCCTTGTGAATCGTGACATTGTTCAATTTTAATAACATGCATATTAGGTCAAGAGGTGTCATGACTTTGCACCTTCAGGACTTCATAGAGATCTGACCTACTGTAAGTTGTGCATTAGATTCCCCCTATTTCAAGGTCTTTACTCATTCAGTACAGGGTCTTCTTGATTTTATTTAAAATTAAAATCCCAATAATGAGGATCACAAGAAATCACGTCCCCCCATCCATAAAAACCACATCACAGAAACTAAATAGACTGCTGTCTTGTTTGAGTGGTCACAATGTGGCTGTCTTTCAGTAAGTGAGGTAACGCTTCGGTTTGTGGGGTTGGTGGGAGGAGGGTAGCAGCAAAGTTCAAGATGAACAAATTCCGGTGACATTCCGGCCTGGCTTTTGCGGCAGTGAGATGTCTTGATATTTTGAAGCGCTGCCCCGAGCTGGAGCACCTTGGCTTTAAATGCGATATCATGTGACAAGCTTTTCATGAAGCCCGAACCTTGCAGTTACTGGTGATGTTGTAAATACAGTTCACGATCAGCTAAGAAAGAAGCCTCGCTACCTCACTATTGACCATAAACCAATATGATTGGATGAAATACATGCTTTTACGAGCAACATAAAAACTTACCATCCTCTTAAAGTTTTACGTCTCTAGGCTTATTTTGGATCCAGTAGAAAGGATGTGCAGTGGAATGAGGGCCCATAAATGGTATATGTCGTGGTCATTTGCTCGACTGTTTAGCTACAATGGTGTAGAAATTTATAGGTACTGTAAAGAGCTTTGAATTGCGGGGTGTAAAATGCAAGCAGCAAACAGTTCTACTTTAGCAGTATGAGAGCATGGGAGGAAATCCATACTGACACAAGCCATCTTCCAGTTAAAAACACACACACACACTTCTTCTGAACCTCCCTGAAATTCGGCTTCATTTTCTTCCTTCCAGGCATGCAAATCTGCTAAAATGTACACTGTTGGAGGGGCTTCTCGGTGCATCAACACCCCCTTCCCCTTCCCACACATAACTACAGACACACGCAGATCCTTCCAACCTTTTTCTTGTCTAATCCTGCCCCAGTGCCCCAGTTCACCTTCCTACACCCCATTAATAACCTATTCTGTCTGTCATAAAACTCAGGAGATCATCCAGCTGGTCCACAGCACACACATTGCCAGCAATCTCCTCCCGCTAGTCCCAGTCGGTTCGGATTTCTCTCAAACACTGCACATTAGCATTTAAATCCCCTCATAACCATATCATTGTGTTGCAGATAGAGGCAGTAGATCTTCATTCATCAGTCCTAATCTATCTGTTCCTTGTTCTCAGCCGGAGGGGCCCCAGGCTCTGACTCAGAGCTTAACCCACCGCGCGTAAGCCGCAAGGTGCCTGCGCATTTTCCTCCAAATCTGGGGTCATCAACAGGGGCCAGCGAGGGTAGCTGAAGCCCAACACACACACATTAACATTGTAAACTGGTCCGATTAGGGGGGGGGTTTAATTGAGTATATTTGAGTGAAAGCTGCGCGTTAAACGGATCATATATTAAGCCCTGTCAACAGCTTGTGCTACAGTGGATGCTCCTCTTATCTCCAAGGTTAGATTAACTTGTGCTGAAAAAGCACACAGAACACAAACAGAAACAAGAAATACATCCCAAGGAGCTGGTGCAAAGTTTGAACTGCGCATACGGACCAAATCCAATCATGCAAATCAATAGAATTGAATCGATTCCCTGTGACACACGTCTGTCTTGTTGTCACGCGTAATTCCTGGATATCAGCCACCTTTAGAGGCCTCTCTCGGATTCCAAACGAGGACAGTTCCCAAATCACATCCGGTCATGATACACGCAGATTTCCAACATATTAGTAGTTTGTAGCGCGTGAAATGCACTTAACTGTCCGCCAGACTCTCTCTCGCGCGCACACACACACAAGCGGACACACCAGACAAACACCAGAATGTCACGAAACTGCACCCGGACTCTGAATGTCATCGAGACACTTACCTTTATTTTATTATGCTTCCATCAAGTCCTGAAACACATCTTCGCTCAAAGCGCGCGTGTCGGTACTCCGAGAGCTCTCACCTTCCCTCAAATAACAGCGTATTCCACTGCAGAGCCGCCGACGCTGTCTTCTCTCCCTCCTCTCGCTCTCCTCTCTCTCTCCTCCGTCTCCCTCACTGTTTCTTCTCTCTCTCTCTCCCTTTCTCTCTTTTTCTCTCTCCCTCTCTGATTGATTCACCCTTTCCAAGTGCTGCGCTTCTACCGCTGGTAATGAGAATTGTCTCAGACATCTTCAGGTGGATGGAACCACTGGTCGATTCAGAGGGGATGGGCTACACTGCCGGGACAGTTTTTCTTTAAAAAAAAAAAAAAAAAAAAAAAAATTATATATATATATATATATATATATATATATATATATATATATATATATATATATATATATAGTTATTTTAAATTCTTACTTTTGAAGCAAAAAAAAATGTTAAATGAGTGATTTGCGTTGGTCTGCGTTGCACATAAAACCTAAACAGTCAGTTGCAAACGCGCTCGTAGCATTAAACAACCTATTAATAACGCAAAAATGGGATTACATAATAAATAAATGCATCCAATGTAACAGTAATTATCACCTTCCTATGTGTTATGATTATAATTAGTCACAGGAACCCACACTTTCGTTGCATTTCACTATTCAGCTGCGGTGTTTTTTTTTACATTTGATCCCAGAGACAGTCACGCACGTGTCCATATGCTCGCATAATCTCTATAAAATGACGGTGATGGTGCTGTTTACTGCTTGTTACAAGGAACACTGCTGCTTGGTCGGTTCCCTTGGCAACACTCACGCACACGCAGTGCTGAGCCCCACCTGTACAGCGCTACCTCGTTGGATTTGAGTCCTGCTGCCATTGTGGATCCCGTCGTACGTGTGGCATATACAGTATGCGCGCGGGTATATTGATTGGCATCCTAAGATGGAGGAAAGGAGGGGTATTGTGTTGGGCGCGGGGGGTTGAGCGTGTTTATTTCCCAGAAATTAACTTGCCTTTTTAAAGAATGTGAGCACTAATGTGATTGGTTTCAGGTGATGACAGTTTGGGCAAAGCCTCTCTGGGGATAGGTTATTAAATGTGGGAGTGAGGCGAGGTTTAAGGTCAGGTTAAGGTTGGAGGTCTGCTCGGGGTTGAGTTGTCAATCACTTCAGCAAGATATTAGCGGGGAGATGTGCGGTGGGTGGTTGAGCGTGTGTCCATCAGATAACAGAGGGTAAGAGGGAAGAGGGGATGAGTGTGTGAGTGCTGTGGGGGGATTCAGACGGGTGATTAGTGCTGGATTGATAATGTTCTATATCGAGACTCAGTGGATCACTCTTCTCACATTCTTGCACCTCAACGCCAGCACTTCATCACAGGCACGTGTTTTCATGCACACACTCCTCACACACGTGTCTTCCTTCCAGCACTGCTCCCGGCTATCGCACACACACACATATACACACATACAGGCATGATTTAGATGGGGATCAGGGTTATGACTGACCCCTGCATATTTAGTCTGGATGCAGCAACAGGGTGGCCAACCTGTTCCTCTCTCTTATTAAACATTGCACAGTGCACACTCTACGTGGCCTTGGCTGCTCTCTTCCACTTTATGCACAATATGTTCTCGCTCACTTGACCCCCACCCCCCACTTCCCCACCCCCCACACACAAACAGCCCCACGCTCTGCAGTGAGGGTCTAGCAGCATCCACGCTCTGTCCCAGTCCTCTGTAATTCCAACAACAACGGCTCTCGCTCAGTGCTTTTTGCATTGCGTCGCTCCTTCGCCCTTCTCTCCACCCCACCCTCCCTCCTCCCCTGCTGCCTTCCTGCCTCCCTCTCTCTCGCTCTCTCTCTCTCTATTAAATTTCCAGTCACACAACAGTGCAGTGGATATCCCTCCCTCTCTCTAACTCTCACACACTCTCCACCAACACGTCCCTCCTTCCCTCCCTACTCCCTGTCCTCCTCTCCCTCCTCTCCCTCCTCCCTCCCACATACATACCTCAGTAGTCTGTGGAGGTGTTGTCGTCGTCCCGGATCTCTCCCTAACGCTTGCTCTTGATATTGACTGTTCTCTCCCCTCCTTCACTTTGAACCTCTCAATCTCGCTCACTCTTGATATAAGGCTGCTCTCTTTTCACCTCCAGTTGTCTCACCTCCCCCCTCTCTCCCTTTCTCCTCCCTCCTTGCCTCATTATTTAAAAGAGCCCCCTCACATTTCCTCCTCTTCCTCCCCATCCCACCCTGTTTGTATCTCTGTACTGCAGTGTCTGCTCAGGCTATATGGTATGGAGTATAACCTTCCCTCCCCTCTCTCTCCCTCTCTCCCTCGCTGTGGTGGGTGTGCGGGGCTCGCTCCATCAGGCCAGACTTTAACTGACTGATTGAGTGGACACCACAGGCCGATAAATGAATAAAGATGGGAGCCACTGTGAGGATTAATGTGCCTCATATGAAGACAAAAAGCTTGCCATCTAGTATTTCTGCCTCTGCCCTGTGGATGAGGTTGCTCACGCCTTCTGTGCTCTGCCTTGTATTGCTGTGTGTTATGCTGTGCTGGCATATTGGTTGAGAGATGTGCAGGCGCTCTCTTTGCCCTGGGTTATGTTTAGGTCCTGTGGCCTCGGCGGTAGTTGCTGTGCCGGGGTGAAACCTCTGCCATCGCCTTACTGCGCTGGAATGGCGTGGTGAGAGGAACTGGGGCAGATATGCCGGTGGTGTAGGGAACAGGCCTCCTGCCTTTCTCCTCCTGCCGCTCCCTTCTCACATGCTGTCTCAAGACTGAACTCTTCGCAGCCTCCGAGGCCCTAACAGAGCCCTGATCCGTATCTGATGGCGAAACAGCACGCCACAGGCTGCAGAAATCCTAACCCGTTTGATACCAAATTGAACATTCTGGCTGTCGTGACAAGCAAGCAAGGGTTGAATGCTCCAACGCTTATGGCAGTGTAGACCATAAAACACTTGGCTTTCACCCACAGAAAAACAAGAAGCTCCTTTAAACACGAAGTTAACCAAGCCTGTATCTGCAACACTAAAGCTAATACTCCTCCCTTATCACTAACAGCCCTATCTGGCAACCGCATCCATTAGGGCTCAATGGAGACATTGATCCTCCCACACCCAGGCCAAGTGGACCTCGACCACAAAGCTCCTGAAGACAGATCCAATTTTAGGTGTTATACGCTGCTCTTACCTGCCTCCTTTTCCTCATCGTCTCTCCACATGCACCCTAATCTCATCATCACATCTTCAAACATGACCACCGCAACTCATTTGCACTACGTGGTGAGGCTGAATAATAAGACATGTCTCTCGTGCCTTTCTGTCTCTCGCTCCTGTCAACACCACCTCCGGCAGGGCGTAAAGCAAACTGCCACAGGCCTATAAACCCCATTATGCCGAGCAGTACTTCTTGCACCATGCTGTATAATCTTCATCTCTAGCTTATAGCCAGGCCAAACTGGCCCTTAAACTGGTCCGCTGCTTTCCTCGCGGTGGCAACGCAGACAGCAATAACCAAAATGTCACCCAGCCATCAACATTTTAATTTCAGGCCCAAACCACTTTGCAGTAAAAAGTGGTCAAACAGCACAGACTATGGGCATACTGTGTGTGAGGATGTGTCCCGGCACGTAAGGGTAACTGCACTTAATATGTGTAATCGTCTTTTTAATGCAAATGTCATAAATCTATATGAGGCACACAAAAGAAAATATCTTTACTCAAATGCTTGATATTGGAATGTTCGGTATAAAGCACTGAGTTGTTTTATGGTTAACTTGCACGTTTCATATCACATTCAGTGTCTTTGTTCCACTTTCATATGCCAGTATTTTAAAGAAACCCATTCTAAAGGTACTTGTTTTAATTTCCCGTTTTTGAAAAATGTTTAAACTATTCCAAAGTGAACTAAACTAATCAACAAAATCTTGCAGAAACAGCTGCTGTTACTGTACATCCAAAAATCAAACAAAGCCCAAATGGTGCCAGGTTGTACTTTCCTTTACTAACAATTTGTACCACAGGACAGTGCAGTGTGATTTTAACCAGACAAGGCATTAAAATGCAAAATTTAACAATATGTATTATATATAATTAAAGTAGAAGAAGGTCAATTCTGCAGAGGGGGACCGCAAAAAGGACATTTAAAAGTTAGCATGCAAAGAAAAAATGTTCTTCTTCTGATGCCCAGAAAACACAACTGGGTCCATTCATGCATTTGATTAATTCTTTATCCAATTCAGGTAGAAAGGGTGGAGAAAGAGCGAAAAAGAATATTATTGTGTTGGAGCTAAAAGCACCAAGAGGAGACGAGTATATGGAGGAGAGTGGCAGGGTCAAGGAGTGCCAGAAGCAAGGCTGGAGGGCAAGGTACTTCTCTGGGTGCTTCGTGGGACAGTTGCTCTGCCAGGCCTACACTGGGCTTGGCATCACAGGAGAGAAAAAAGGCTACAGAGAAAGCGTCAAGATGGCTGATGACAAAGAGTGGATATTTGTGGGCAGCTGCCAGGGCAGAAGTTGCGGTCTGATTAATCCTGGCTGTGTCGCCTGGCTGAGGGTGTATCACGGTTGCATCAGAAGGGCATCCAGTTTAAAATCTTTGCCTAATCAAACATGCATATCATCAACAATATCATTTTCATACTGGATTGGTTGGAGCCTGGGATGAAACACCAACTGGCTCTAGTGCTGTTGGTCAACAGGGTGCCAGTGGAAGACAAAGAAAGAGGAACGGGGGAAAGCATGGTAGAAGGACGACTCGTCGATGTAGTGAAGAAGGACATGCAGAGAGGTGGTGTGACAAAAGAGGACACTAGGGACAGGGTGAGACAGAGGCAGACAATCTGCTTTAGTGATACCTAAAGGGAGCAACCAAAAGAAGAAGAAGAAAAAACATATCTTTGGACTGTGGGAGAAGGCTGGAGTACACAGAGAGAACACACAGGCACAGGGAGAAACTCCACACAGGGAAGCCCCAGTTGCCCTGTGGCTTCATCTCAGAACATTTTTGCTGTCAGATGACAGTACTGCACCTCGGTGCAACAGGTATCAAATCAAAGTGTAACTGTAAAAGACCAGCTTT